TGCTAGCCCACAAAAGCCATCTGAATGTTCCTAACCAAGTCAGAGAAATAAACATCCTGACTTAGGATATCCCAGCGGTTAGGACCAGTTGCATCACTCTGTGGTTGCATCACCACAATCACATGCTACAGCTGTTCTTACCACTACTCAGGGGACATCGATCTAAAATGCATTTCCCGATAAACATTTTTGTTCACCCATATATATCCACCGGTTTGTTATTGTGGAACAATTTGTAAGTTATGGGTTATGCGGGAGTTTGAGGGAAAAGTGCTGAGATATTTCTGCTAAAGAAATACACACAAAATTACATGGAATTCAAGTTTTAGTTTCTTTTTTACATGGACTTTAAAAGAAAGGGCTGATCAAATTATTGATCTATCAGCATCAGATAGAATGTTTTGTTGAAATTCTGACAGCGGCATCATTTACAAAATGCATTCTTGCGACATTTAATAATTAAGAGACAAATTCTGGAACATCAGTGAAACCGCTACCGTCTGGCACTTCCTCATTTGCTTGGCTAGAATTTTACAAATGTCCAAATTCACAATGGTTTGAGTTGGGTTCAGCAGTCCCCTGATGAAAAAGATATTCTTGACTTAATTATAAAGAATAGAACACCTCTGTGTGTGTTCAAGGCAGTAAAGGCTGCAGACCGGAGAAATTGAGCATGTGTGAAGAATTGTGTCACTTAGGATATTACAAAAAATAAAGACAGGTTTCAGAGGAACAGCCGTGTTAGTCTGTATTCGCAAAAAGAAAAGGAGTACTTGTGGCACCTTAGAGACTAACCAATTTATTTGAGCATGAGCTTTCGTGAGCTAATAAATTGGTTAGTCTCTAAGGTGCCACAAGTACTCCTTTTCTTTTTACAAAAAATAAAGAAACTGACCCAACCAAAATCCCTTGCCCAGTAGAATCACATAATGCAGAACATTTGAGAGGGATGTTAGGAAGATTTGAAATTCAGGGGCCAATGCTTTAACTGGTTTGTAAGTGCATGTTGGTCAGACAGCTTTGTTATTTGAGCATATTGCCCATCACAATCCCTGCACTCCACTTCCTTTCAGTACAGATTAAAGGCTTGGTTTTATTTACTCTCCAGTAGAGAGTATGGCTGAGCTGGTGCACACAACAGCTCCTCAGTTCCCTTTTGAGTCTGAACACAGAAGAATAGAGATTCATGGCTCCCCACCCCCTGCCAGAGTAAATTGACCTCTCAAATGCATCACTTCACCTAGTGGTATGAGGATAATGGAGAGCTGTGTACAGAAAGAAAGGAGTAGGCTTTCTGATGGGACAAGGGCCTGGGGCTTTTCTTTTGGGGGCATTCAAGTGTGTTAGGCCAAAATAGAAAACAGGTGAAAGAGGCCTACTCCCTGTCATGCTTCTATGGACTCATTCTCTCATACAGCACGACTGTTTGATCTTAAACCTTGGGAGGGTGAATCCCCTCTCTTGTTGTTTATAGTTGCTTTCTGTGAGTAGATGGATCTGGTATATATAACCAGGGCTCTTACTGTAGAGGGGGCTTGGACTGTATGTGTTCCCAGAACAGAAACAAAGTAGTAACTAATGACAACTTTACCAGTTCTAAATAGAGGAGCTATCCCGAATATCCATGAGATCCTGTGGCTGCGGCCCTCCTCCTTCATCCTCTCTCTTGTTTGCTACTTTCGCACGCAATATCACATCTAGAATGAGTTTGTAAGCTCCTCGGGGCATAGGCCTTCTCTTTCTCTTTGTAGTGCAGAGTGTCTGGCACTCTTTTGAATGTTGCATAAACAAACAATATAACAATATCTCTTATGCATGACACATGAACAGCTGGGTGGTAGTGGTGTTGACTTCTGGTGGTTGTAACTGTTGTGAAATGAGTTTTTGAAGGCCTCATGACATGTCTGGGCATGTTTATGAGCACAGTTGTGTTTTCACATATACATTTTTTTTGTTCCGTTTCTCTTTTGCCGAGATTTATTAGCACATGATTTCTCTCTGACAGTAGAGAGAGAAATCATTGTCCATCTGCTCATTGATGTCAGTGCAAAGACTCCCATTGACTTCAGTGCACTTTGTCTCAGGTCCTAAATCATTTCCTTAAAAGAAAATTTCAGTGTAATATAAAAAATGTTCTTATCACGCCATCAAATTACAAAGAAGAGTAAGGACCTGATTCAGGAAATCACTTAAGCATGTGCTTGGTTTCAGTGGTACTTAAACAGTTGCTTGACTGCTTTCCTGAATGGCAGCCTAAATCACGATTATTATTTTTTGTAATGTTCATAAACAATAAAAATTACAAAAAGGAAAATGCCTTACAGCTTGTCTATGTTACCTAACACTGCACATTTCACCGGATATCCAATACAAGTATGCAGTTGTGCAACTTTACAACTTGTCAAAGGTTCAAGACCAGGCAGTACAAAATCAGACACTATTACACAGACATAACATGTCAGGGTGGGGGTAACAATAACATAATCATACACAAATAGGAAAAAGAGGGAAGGAGGAGGCTGAGGTGGAGAGTGGGAAGAGGGAGGGAAAGAAGCAGAGAGGTGAAGTTAATGGAAGTCTGGCATTATTTGAGCTACCTCAGCATTTTTAAGCCAAATGTCATGACACCTATTAGGTATCAGATTTCTTTGAATTCCTATACTTGCTCTCCACGTGGATAAGCTAATCTTTCTTTAGCTGCAAACTCAGACAGGTCCGAATACCACTGCTCTATTCTGGGCATAAGCCTACTCCTCCATTTTTGTAAAATCACGCACTTGGTAATCACTGCAGCCCTCAAGAACCAAAGGCTTTGTGGTGGAGTGAAACCCAGCGTAATTGGGCCATAACCTACGATATAATTTTCAGGTGAGGATTGGTTGCTGAAGTCAAGGGCTATTTTCACTCTTGTGTCCACCTTTTTCCACAGCTGCCTGCCTGCCTGTCGGTCCCATAGTATATGCGTCAGGGTTCCTTTTTCTTTACTGCAGTTCCAACAAACCAAAATTGCTGTTAGGAAAAAGAATAATTAAAACTCAGATAGGGAGTTGCCATTTTGACAATGTGATATAGATTAGAACACAGGAAATACAGCTTGTTATTGAAATGTCTGAGAACCTGAGATTTTTAACGCCTAAGGTAAGTGCTCCTGTTTTAAAAACATAGATGGCTGATAATGAAATAAAGGTTAAGAACCTTGGTATGGCTTTTGATCACTCCGCTTCCATGGAAAGCCATGTGTCCGACAGAGTACATCACAAATGTGGTCTCTTGTTTTATTCCAGATGAGCACTTTGCGCAACTCATACTTTAGTGATCATAGGCTTGATTATAGTCACTCCTGGTCTAGCGGGGCAGCTTGCAACTTGGTCAGAACACATCCTGGTGTGTGTTCCCTCGTTAGGCCCGACTTGCCTGCTTGCCAGCAAATGCCAGTTGAGCTGGCACTGTTTGATTTTTAAAATCCTTTTGGTGACCTTTCTTCAGACCCCAGCCTGTCAAGTATCGGAGCTCAGACCACACCATTCTTTACAGATGATATCATTTCTCCCCAGCTGGGAGGTAATCTACTATAGTGAGCCTGGGGGTGTGGGACTTGCTGCTCCTGGACATCTATCTCAGTACCCCATACCCATTTTGGGGAATATACCTTAAACCCCATTTTTCTATACATGATTTTTAATCTGACCCTCTTGGTTAGTTTTATTCCTATGCATTTAGGAGGGTGTTTTTGATTGGCGTACTTTCTCTAACTGCTTGTGATAATTTTAACACCAAGTGCTTCTGCAGGAGGAAGGGAGTTCGCTACAAATTATAATTTTATTTAATAGCAGGCTGGTAAATGACAGAACAGGATACAGCTTTGAAAGTCTGTGCTGTACTTCCTGTGTCTCAGTCTGTTTCCCAGAATCTCTGTCTGATGAGGTATGAAAACAAACCTGAAGTCACAATCACAAGTCTTGAAGTCACAAGTCCTGGAGAGGATTTTCTTTTCCCATGCTGGTCAGCGTTTATTATAATAGACTGTCATAATTAATTCATTATGATGTCAGCATACAGGCAAAGCAGCATACACATCTAGTTGAAAATGGAGTGGACTTATAAATCACTGACAGAATTATGCCAGAGCCAGCTAAATCCTCTCCAAAGTTTAGTGGATTTTTGCTGAAGTTATAGGTGAATATCTGTCTCTAATTGCTTATTTTAAAGGAAGTGAGAGATTGAATTCTAGCCAGGCCAGGGCAGTGTCTGACCAAAGTCCAGAGCTATTTTTAATTCACCACAGTGGGATGACTCTTAATTTAATAATCACAACAAAAGGTTTATGACTTGATATTTAGCGCCTTTGGTTATGTGTACTGAAGTAAATGCTGTTGCTCCACATTGATACCAGTGTAACTTTATATCTCTGAATGATCTCATCTGTTATGAGGTCAGAAGGCAGTACCTGTTCACACAGGTGCTGGAATTAGGGGTGCTGGGCGTGTGGCAGCACCCCTGGCTTGAAGTGCTTTCCATCGTATACAGGGTTTACAGTTTCGTTCAATGGCTCTCTGCACCCCCACTATACAAATTGTTCCAGCATCCCTGCCTGTGTAACAATGTGCAGGAACACCTGGGAACAGTTTGGGATAGGAAGTGAAGGGTACTTTATCCAGTTGAATCTACAGGAGAAATGTGAGGACAGAAACATTTATTTACCATAGTGGCATACTGGTGGTGATTAGCAGCAGGGAACTTCAGAATGACCCAATGAGAACATTCTGGCACCACCCAAATAACCGGTATTGACGCTTCTCCAATAATTTGGTATATCATGTACTTTTTCAAGACCTCATAGAAGAGAAATGGAAACCAGTTGCTCTGACAGATCTTCTGCTCCTAGAAGTGTGGCTATGGTGGATTGTCGAGGAGCGTTTTTCTTTGGGAGGGGTGAGGATGGTTATTGCTATTCTTGTTTGATTTGCTCCAAAGTTTCTAATTTTTTTTCTTAACTGCAGGTCATTTCATGGGCAACAACACAGTGATTGATGTTTTGGGAAGAGAAGGGTATGAGGTAGAACACACTCCTGCTGGACAACCCATCAACAAGTAATATATACATGTTTTTATCATATTTGATAAGCCATTGAGATAGATAAGCTGTAGACGACTATAGAGATACCGTGGAAATAGATAGACTGCTCTTTTTTGCTATTTCCCGGTACAATTCCTTTGCTCTGTTTATCTTCTGGGAGCTAATTTGGAAACGCAGCATGCATGACACTTGACAGGTTGCTCTTTCGTATTGACTTGGACATGTTTTTCCCATAACTTTTAAAGCCTTGAGTTAGCAAGTATTTATGAACGGCAAGTTAAACCTGTTTGGGTGGACAAGCTGACTTGTTGTAGTGTAGCACAAAAAGGGAAGGGCTAAAGGGAAGGGCTGCTAGTTTTTCTGTTTTATAGCCCCTTTTTCCCCACCCTGACCCCAGCTTGGCACATCTTCCCCTATGGCCTGTGCTCCTGGGACCCTTCTCCCATTCCTTCCCTCTCTTGTGTGTTCAACCAGTCCCTCCCCTTTGGCTCTTTCCCCCCTGTACACAAGTGTCGTATCACTTAGCTTGAAAAGTCTTCCCTTGTCCCTTCCCTACCTGCCAACTCATCCCCTGTATTCTCTCTAAACCCCCTGAGTCTGCTCTGCCTTGACTCCGTGTGCAACGCTCTCCTTGACCTTTCCAATCTGACTTCCAGCCTCTCCACTCCAGAGCCGGCCTCACCAGCATCCTCCCTAACGCTCTTTGTGCTAAGCTGTATTCTTGTTCCCAAGCTGTCTGCTGCCACCAATACCATTGATCACTCTCTCTTCCTCCATTTTATCCTCCGTTTTAGACTAGGACACTTGTCTATTCTGGTTCTCCTTGCTGAGCACTCTTTTTCCTCATCCTGCCTGGTGGCTCCTCATCCTGCCTTCACTCCTACCTATGGATAGTCTTCAAGGTTTTCTCCTGAGCTCACCTTGGTCTCCCTCAGTGCTCTCTCTCAGGTGTTCTGCCGTGGTTTCAGTTACCAGAGAACTTCTACATCTCCCCCTCAGTCTAGCCTTGCATCTCCCTCTGTCTCAGCCATCTCCTCCTGGACTTCCTGCCAATATCCCAAACTCCAGATTTCTGATCTCCCCCCTGCTCTGCCTCCTTTCTCTGTCACAACTGATCATTTCCTTATTCTCCCTGCTTGGCTTGCCACCTGGGCCCTATCTTCCATTGCTCTCTCTCCCCTGCCCCACATACAGGTGCTCGCTAAATCCCATGTTTGGGCCTAGTATCTAAAATAAGCCTGTTCCCTTGTATTCTTACTGCTAAAACCTTGGTTCGCATTTTGTTCATCTTTCACTTTGACTACTGTAATATTTCCCTTTATATCTCCTTCCCCACCACATACCTCTGCCTTCATTATTGTCAGCGTTCCTTTTCTGAGCACCACACTCTCCAAACCGCCTTCCCAAACACCTCTACTAAAGGGGCTCGCTGGGGCTGGGACCATCTTTTTGTTCTGTGTTTCTACAGTACCCAGCACATGGTAGGGTTCCATGGTAGGAACTCCTAGGCACTACGGTCATACAAATAATATAAATGAAGTCACTTCCTTTCCTCCTGACCACGTCACCTTCCTCCTTGAATCCTTTCACTGGTGTTGACTGTTACCACAAGGGATGTAAGCTCCTTGTCGGGCTACATTTTAACCTTGGCTTCTCACATGGTGCTGAACATGCTTTGTCATAGTCTACACTTGCTTTTAAACCAGGCTCCACATGGGTTCAGCCACATGCCTTGCCATAGCCCTAATGTCAGCAGTATTCTGTTCTCTAGAGGTTCTTGTACTGCACTCATCACCATAGGATCTGAACACCACTGGGTAGCTCCCTGTGTAGGCGAGCCCTCTATGATGATCCATAATAGCCAATCAGAATCTAATACTTGAATCACTTCTTTTTTCAAAGAAAAAGTGCATGGTTTAAAAACGTTTCCTAGAAGGATGAAAAGTCTGGGGAAATGTGGTTTTTGTTTGATGAGAGCCTTTTGGCCAATCATTCTTTACAACTGCCTTAGCAACTTCTTATGCTCCAGAAAAAGAGAGCTCATGCCATCCTAAACCCCACTTCACATGGCCTAGAGATGGGAATAAAAACAAAGCCTAAAGAAAAGTCACAGAGTGAAATCTTGAGCCCACTGAAATCCATGGCAAAACTCCCCTTGCCTGGAATGGGGCCAGGGTTTCACCCATAGTATTTTATACATTGAAGGAGGCGAGGGTGGGTGTCAAAGACACAGGCCCCTAACTCCCACTGACAGTCAGGGAAAGTTCAGTGCCTAATTAACTCCCATTTGTACCTTTGAAAACCTCCCCCTAAAATCAGAACTTGCTGCATTTCATGATGTGCAGTGGGAGAGCCGGGAATGAAGCCCTTGGTGGGCTGTGGCTGAAACCTGCTGAATGAGAAAGGTGATCAGGGAGATGGAGATGAATCCTGTATTCAGAGAAAAAAATGAAGATAAATGGCTCTGTTAAAATGTTGGGAATAGCCATCTAGGACTATTTCAAAGCAGGGTTAAAATGGGAAATGAGTTTACAATGGAATGAAAAGCAAAGGAAGGAAAATCCCTCTTGGGATGGTTTTGAGGCTCATGACAGGATAGCTCAGGTTGGACATATGACCAGGGAAGAGTATAAAAATATTGCTCGGGCATGTAGGAATGATATCAGGAGGGCCAAATCGCACCTGGAGCTGCAGCTAGCCAGAGATGTCAAGAGTAACAAGAAGGGTTTCTTCAGGTATGTTGGCAACAAGAAGAAAGCCAAGGAAAGTGTGGGCCCCTTACTGAATGAGGGAGGCAACCTAGTGACAGAGGATGTGGAAAAAGCTAATGTACTCAATGCTTTTTTTGCCTCTGTTTTCACTAACAAGGTCAGCTCCCAGACTGCTGCGCTGGGCATCGCAAAATGGGGAAGAGATGGCCAGCCCTCTGTGGAGATAGAGGTGGTTAGGGACTATTTAGAAAAGCTGGACGTGCACAAGTCCATGGGGCCGGACGAGTTGCATCCGAGAGTGCTGAAGGAATTGGCGGCTGTGATTGCAGAGCCATTGGCCATTATCTTTGAAAACTCGTGGCGAACGGGGGAAGTCCCGGATGACTGGAAAAAGGCTAATGTAGTGCCAATCTTTAAAAAAGGGAAGAAGGAGGATCCTGGGAACTACAGGCCAGTCAGCCTCACCTCAGTCCCTGGAAGAATCATGGAGCAGGTCCTCAAAGAATCAATCCTGAAGCACTTGCATGAGAGGAAAGTGATCAGGAACAGCCAGCATGGATTCACCAAGGGAAGGTCATGCCTGACTAATCTAATCGCCTTTTATGATGAGATTACTGGTTCTGTGGATGAAGGGAAAGCAGTGGATGTATTGTTTCTTGACTTTAGCAAAGCTTTTGACACGGTCTCCCACAGTATTCTTGTCAGCAAGTTAAGGAAGTATGGGCTGGAAGAATGCACTATAAGGTGGGTAGAAAGCTGGCTAGATTGTCGGGCTCAACGGGTAGTTATCAATGGCTCCATGTCTAGTTGGCAGCCGGTATCAAGTGGAGTGCCCCAAGGGTCGGTCCTGGGGCCGGTTTTGTTCAATATCTTCATAAATGATCTGGAGGATGGTGTGGATTGCACTCTCAGCAAATTTGCGGATGATACTAAACTGGGAGGAGTGGTAGATACGCTGGAGGGGAGGGATAGGATACAGAGTGACCTAGACAAATTGGAGGATTGGGCCAAAAGAAATCTGATGAGGTTCAATAAGGATAAGTGCAGGGTCCTGCACTTAGGACGGAAGAACCCAATGCACAGCTACAGACTAGGGACCGAATGGCTAGGCAGCAGTTCTGCGGAAAAGGACCTAGGGGTGACAGTGGACGAGAAGCAGGATATGAGTCAGCAGTTTGCCCTTGTTGCCAAGAAGGCCAATGGCATTTTGGGATGTATAAGTAGGGGCATAGCGAGCAGATCAAGGGACGTGATCGTTCCCCTCTATTCGACATTGGTGAGGCCTCATCTGGAGTACTGTGTCCAGTTTTGGGCCCCACACTTCAAGAAGGATGTGGATAAATTGGAGAGAGTCCAGCGAAGGGCAACAAAAATGATTAGGGGTCTGGAACACATGAGTTATGAGGAGAGGCTGAGGGAGCTGGGATTGTTTAGCCTGCAGAAGAGAAGAATGAGGGGGGATTTGATAGCTGCTTTCAACTACCTGAAAGGGGGTTCCAAAGAGGATGGCTCTAGACTGTTCTCAATGGTAGCAGATGACAGAACGAGGAGTAATGGTCTCAAGTTGCAGTGGGGGAGGTTTAGATTGGATATTAGGAAAAACTTTTTCACTAAGAGGGTGGTGAAACACTGGAATGCGTTACCTAGGGAGGAGGTAGAATCTCCTTCCTTACAGGTTTTTAAGGTCAGGCTTGACAAAGCCCTGGCTGGGATGATTTAACTGGGAATTGGTCCTGCTTCGAGCAGGGGGTTGGACTAGATGACCTTCTGGGGTCCCTTCCAACCCTGATATTCTATGATTCTATGATTCAGAGGCCTAGTAATGGGATACAGAGGCTTTGACATCTCAGTCACTGGCTTGAACCTGTTTAGACTAATAGACTTTAAGGTCAGAAGTGACCATCAGTCTGACCTCCAGCACATTGCAGGCCACAGAACCTCACCCACCACTCCTGTAATAGACCTCAGGCTGAGTTACTGAAGTCCTCCAATCATGAGTTAAAGATTTCAAGTTGCAGAGAATCAACTATTTACACTAGTTTAAACCTGCAAATGACCCGGGCCCCATGCTGCAGAGAAAGGTGAAAATCCCCTAGGGTCTATGCCAATCTGAGCTGGGGGAAAATTCCTTCCCGACCCCAAACAGACGTTAGACTCTGAGCAAGTGGGCAAGTCCCACCAGGCAGACATCTGGGAAAGAATTCTCTGTAGTAACTCAGAGCCCTCCCCAACTAGTGTCCCATCACTGGCCATTTAGGATATTTGCTGTAAGTAGTCACAGGTCAGCTACCGTGACTCATCAT